CCGTCGTTCGGCACCATGGGCGTCGCATTCATCCCCCTCGACAAGGCCTACCTCACCGCCATCTGGCTCGAGACCCTGTTCTACGGTACGTGCGCCACGATCCCCACGTCGGCTCGCGGAGCTGACCCCGCCGCCACCGACGTCTGCAGGCATCAACATCTGTCTCTTCAGCTCGTATGTGTACATCCTGCGTTTCCGACACACGCGCAAGGTCACGCCCATCATCTTCTGGGTCGCCGTGCTCATGTTCTGCTTCTCGACCGTCCATGTCGCGCTCGGCTTCTGCCGCCTCATCTGGGGCTTCATCGACCTCCGCGACATGCCCGGCGGGCCTGGCGCGTACTTTTCCGACGTGTCCACCCCGCCCAACGTCGCGAAGGTCACCATCCACTCCGTGAACTCCATCCTGGGCGACAGCATCGTCGTGAGTGTGCATGCATGAAAAATGCGCGCGGGTCTGACGATCACCCAGGTGTGGCGGTGCTGGCACGTATGGGGCGGGAACTGGCGGGTGTGCGTCGTCCCCATCCTGCTCATCATCGCGTCCGCCGGTGAGTGTGCTCTGCTGCTCGGGGGGCAAACGGAGTGCTGAAGCGCGACGAACAGTGTGTGGCTTTTCCCAGGCGATCATCTTCGCGGAGGCGAAAACGGTGCACAGCGCCTTCGCAAATGTGCGTCCGCCTGCCCCATTCAGTCCTGCACGTCGCGCCTGACTGGGACCCACAGGAACTCGAGCGCTGGAACGGCTCGCTCTTCTCGCTGTCCCTGGTCACGAACGTCGTCGCCACCACGCTCATCGCCGCACGCATCTGGTACGCCCCGCATTGCCCGCCACGGCGAGTCCGTGCTGACGCCGCGCGCCCGCGCCCAGGTTCACCACGCGCGACGCGAAGGAGTTCGGGCTGAATTCGACGTTCCGGTACACGAAGGCGCTCGTGCTGATCGTCGAGAGCGCGATGATCTACTCGTTCGCGCTTATCGTCGAGATCACGCTCTACTTCATCGGCAGCAACGCGTTCTACATCGTCTACGACCCCATCGCGCAGCTCACGGTACGTTCCGCCCGCTCTCGTCCCTCCAAGTCGAGCGCTGACGCGCGCGAGCAGGGAATCGTGCCGACGATGATCATCGTGATGTCCGTGCTGGGCCTCACCGCGGGCGACTTCGAGTCCGCGGCGACGCGACGCGGGTCCGGGCCTGGCGGGGGCGCGGGCACGGCGCACATGTCGACGCTGCGGTTCGAGCACGGCCGCACGGTCACGTTTTCGACGTCCGCGCCGGGGCTCACGACGGACACGACGACGTCGGGGTTCGCGTCCTACCCGGACGACTCGGCGCTCGATATCCGGAAGGGCGCGGGCGATATCAAGATGGAGGAGCTCGCCCCGGTGGAGGTGGGTGCGGATGCGGAGGCGGCGGCAGCGGAGGAGCGGCGGCGCTCGCAGTGATTGTCTGTTTGGGATGCGCATGGGGGTGAGAAGCGAAAAGCGAGCAAAGGCCGAGGAGAAGCACCATCTGGCTATCATTATCATACTACCATCCCGTCGACTGCGCCGACGCTTACATGCTGTATATATTTCCTCATCTGAGGACCTCGCATTTACATTGTACTTACCGGCAGCACAGCTTATTCTTCACATCCGAGTTTGCGCCTCGAGCGATGCATCCTTTTGTCCTGCGCGTGCGATGTCCACAGCGATGTCTGATGTTCGGTGCCCAGACGCAGGACTTGAGTGAGGGAGTGCGGACAGTACTTACCCGTGATCCACTGAGTGGATGTTTTTTATTGTTATCGATCTTGGAGAACATCCATAGGCGGGCCCCATTATCGCGACACTGTCCAAGCTCATGCCAGAGATAGAGATCGAGAACGCGCGACGGAGCCAAAGCGAACATGAGGTGGGGCAGACCGAAGTAGCAGCCCTCTTGACAGAATATGTCTGTGCAGGACGGAAGCTGGTGCTCCGCCCGGGTAACACATACAGCCATGCCAGTGTCTCCAGACGCGCCGTGCGAGGGCCTGCCAGCGGCCCGCAGGAGACGGGCAGGCTGCCACTAGTACTCCCTGCGCTCACCGCTTCCCGGGACCCGACACGCGGCGCAGGTCTGTCCTCGCTTGGTTGCCCATGAGGCGGCGTAGCACAGACGACGTGAGAGGAGGGACGGCGGGGACGTCGACGTTTGGGGGTGTGCTTCTCGGTTGGGCCGCAGCTGCTGGGACATCGGCATAGGGCCTGGTGGCCGATAGCACTGTTGTACTTGATCTTGAGGACGCGCTGCGCGGCCGCGCGCCAAGTCATGCTTTGGGTGGCGGGTCCTTTGTTTCGCGACGGGGCTGAGCCGCGGCGCTGGGGGCTCGGGGTAGTCAGTGCGGGAGTTGTGGGCTGTGGCGGGTGAAGGCGGGGATGTGTACAGGCGGGCTTCGGGCGTGGCCCTGGTTAGCGGGATATAGGACCAGCTTGGGTTGGGGTTCAGTTAGTGCGAGATGCGGTCAGCGTCGGGGCTCATCCGGGAGGGCTGGTTGGCTCCAGGTTTTCGAGTACTGTTGTTGAAGGGATTTAAATCTTGAGGTTCGAGAGGCGAGCACGGGCCCGCTCGTCCACTGGCCTACCTACAGACATACGCGCGGTGTCCAGATATCAGACGGTTTACCGTCAGAACGCAGTCGATCGCCACAAGCACCCACAAAGCCGGTCTTAAACTCGAAATTATATGTCGCTCTATTGATTATACCTGTATAGCACCACGCCGTGAGCTCGAGACGTCGCCGGGAACGTAGGGAAATACATTACCTCTCTACCTCTACTACGCAGCTCCTTTGGGTGCCTGGGAGGCGGCGCCGACCTTGCGCCCGACGTGGCTCGCGAAGCTCTCGAACAGCGCCCGGTCCCGCCCGCGCAGCCAGTCGAACACGAGTCCCGCCGTCGTGTGCCCGTCGCCGTCTCTGGTCTCTCCGCCGTCTGCTCCTTCGCACCGCACCCGACAGACGAGCGACGGCGCGGCCGCGGCGGAGGCAGAGGCCTCGACGTCCATGCGGTGCTGCTGCAGCTTGCGCCGGCGGGCGGCGCGGGACCAGGTGTCACCTGGGATGGAGACGAGCACGTCGAGCGCGGGAGCGGGAGTGGTGGAAGGGGGAGGGGAAGGGGAAGGGGAGGGGGAGGGGGAGAGCTGGTCGTGAGGGGTGTCGTGCATGCTGAGGCCATCGATGGAGGCGAGGGTTGAGCGCGTGGCGGATGCGGCGTGCGGGACGGAGGGGGCGTGCGGGAGCGGCTGGTGGAGGGTGTTGCGGGGCTGGGCGGGGTGGTGGGTGTTTTGGTGCGGGAGGCGGCCTAGGGACTGGGGGAGGTGAGTGGGTGTGAGACGGAGATGGGATGAAGTGGAATGGGGAGGAAGGCGTACATCGGGCAGGCGGATGTCGGAGAATGACCATGCGATTACCCAGCGCCGGGTTTGGCCTTGTACTAGTTCGGTGATCGCGTAGTCGTCGATCTGGTCGTTGGTGAGGGGATGTATGCGTGAGAGTGACACGTGGCATACCTTGTTATCCCGGAAGGTCTGGACGAGGTGCGTCAGAGACGACATCTTGCCGAGCATCGAGGTGAACCATCTGTGCGCGATACGTGCGTTAGTCCCGGTCGCGCTTTGCCATTAGTGCTGGATTACCTGCATCGATCTCGCACGGCGAGGCTTTCGGCGACCATTTGTCCGACAAACGCAGCCTCCCCTCCTGGGGTGATCATCTCGACGTCCGCCCCTGTGCATACCTTATATACGTGAGTTCGTGGGTAGCAGGCGAAGCGCATATAGCCTACCGCGTTCGGGCCGACCTCCTTGCCTTCGGCGGATTGCTGGACCTCTTCGCGGCTGCCGTAGAAGGGCGGATTGCACATTGTGAAGTCATATGGCGGGGCATCGCTGTGGTTTGGTCAGTGCTGCACGCTGTACGATATGCGCGGTGTGCGGACCTTTCGAAAAGCGGCGCGAGGATGGGCGCGGCGGGGTCGGCTTTGCGCACCTCTATTCGGGCTTGGAGGCCGTTGCGTTGGACATTATCGCGCGCGGACGAGAGGGAAAGCTCGTCAATCTCTACAGTTAGTTGTGAGCGGCGCAAGGGCATGAGGGACGCGGCAGGGCGCACCGGTTGCGACGAATGTCCAGCTGGGGCATGTTCGACATCCGAGCAGTGGGTAAATCACGGATGCGCCTGTTCCACTGTAAGAAATGAGAGGACTGTATTGCGGAGGCATTCGAACAACATACATGTCCAAGCCACGGACGTGTCGGTCGGCGTTTTGTCCTAGTACAAGAGAGACGACGTTTGCAACATCCTCTAGCCAGAGGATATAGTTTAGTCTGTAGATTTATGGTCAGTATACACCTGACAAGAGCGCAGGATATGCGCGCGCGGACCTGTTCGGAACCTGAGAAGATATTAACGAATATTCGTTCAATGATAGGCAGAGATATCTACCGGGGGGCACAGCCGTGCGGGAGGAAGGGTGATGCGTATGGCAAAGTCGCGCGAAAGAAATGCCTCAGTGAGTGCTCTGTGTGGCGTAAGTAAGGTGTACTGCGGGGAAGTTGAGTAACGGGGTACCTCTGTGAAGCGTCGTTCCTGAAGTCGATGGAGGGCCCGTTCGGAGTGTGAATGATGCTAGGGTGGCGAAGGGTTGTTAGAGCGAATGTAGCCGGGCGGTGAAGGGGACCGAAGCACCTACTGCTCACGAAGCGGGGGATGGGCGTCGGCGAGGACGAGGAAGTCGGGCGGCGTTTTGTATGGGTTGCGCGGATGCATCGGCCGTCGTCGACTGAGCGGGTGAGTGAGTCAGTGCAGACCGTTCGATAAAGTACAACCCGAAAACGGTATGTATGTTCTTGTAGGAGTCTGAACGCAACCTTGTTAGAGTTACGCAGTTTCACTCGACGCGTTTAACGTTTGACTTTAAGAAGCCTATATTGAGTTAGTTAGAGTATTAGTTAGGGTACTAGAAGGGCAAAAAGGGCCCAACCGGGATTCGAACCCGGGATCCCTTGCAAGCGGATAAACTCCCAAAGCAAGTATCTTACCTCTAGACCATTGGGCCGGTGTAAGCCGTCCCTCCTGTAGCATCATACCCTGCAACACGCAGCACTACGTCATACCCAGCTCCTCCCGTCTCGTCCTATATAACTCGAGCTCGCTCTCTCCCTCCCTCACACAGCGACCACGACGACCACGACAGCCACGACGACGCCCAGCACGCCCCGCACGACGACCATGTCTCCCAGCACGTCCCACTCGCTCACCTACCCGCCCTCGGCCCACCTCCCCTCCCCCGACGGCGCGCAGCCGGTGCAGTCGCAGCCCTCGCCGGTCCCCACCATGTCCTCTGCCCCCGCCAAGGCTGAGAACGAGACGGGTCCCGCGCAGCGCATCCGTGGCGGCTGCGTGCCCTGCCCCGTACGTCTCCCCCGTTCTACTCCCGCCGCAGCCCTCTCACCCGTTTCTCTCCGCGCAGGACGGCAGCATATGTTACATCATCCCAATCCCCTGCTTCTGCTGCTAAACGTCTGATCACTCGCATTGTCGCTGCCGTACGTATTGTCATTTGTGGTACCATCCTCGGCCCGCACATTGACGCGCTTCGCCCGTAGTCTCTTCTACAAGCCTCACCTGCCACACATGCGTACACCGTGTATAATCCCGCGTCTGGACTTTGTGCTCCAACACTCTAGAATAGCCACCATGTATACTTAGAGATCGGACTGTGTATCATAATTCGAATCGCGTGTATTTGATCCCGTCGAGCGCAGCCGCGCCTGCCTTAACCTTGTGCTCGAACCGCCACCGCCGTAAAGTCTCTCTCCGATCTGCTCACTCTCTCAGCTCTGTGCTGCACTGTACATGTCGTTGTCGTCTGCTCTCGCATAGATATCTGCATTAATTCACTGCCCGGATGGACAAGTTCGCAACACTCGAGCCCGTGCGGCTCTATAACGCCCCCGCCCCGCCCTCGACCCCCTCGTCCTCGAAGCGGTTCTCGACGGCGGCCAAGCCAGTGCTCTCGTCGAGGCGAGTCCAAGCACCCGCCCCGTTCCAGGTCATCGGCCGCCTCCCCGTCGACGTCCACATCCTCATCCTCACCTTCCTCGCTGTCCCCGACATCCCCGCCTACGCCCGCTGCTCCCGCGCCCTCGGCAACCTCGCCCGCGACGAACGCGTCTGGGAGGCCCGCTGGGCCGCCTTCGGCCTCGACACCGCCCGCCTCGGCCCCGTCCTCGACGCCCTCGACGACAAGGTCAAGGTCCAGAACGGCCTCAGCCGCACGCACGCCCCGCCGACCCTCGCGCCCGAGGCCGCGGACGACGACTTTGGCGACTTTGCGGCCGTCGGCGCGCAGGCCGGCGAGATGGGCGACTTTGTCGGCGCGTTCAGCCCCGCGACGCCGCGCTTTGCGAACGTCCCCCCGCCCGCGGCGGTGGCGAAGACGGGCTTCCGCGCAAAGTATGTGCGCGCGCACGCGCTGCTGAAGCCGCTGCTGGCGGCGCTCGACGCCCCGCCGCATGCGGTGCTGTCGAGCCTGTTCCCGTCCCCGGCGCCGCCGCTGCGCAGCCAGGCGCACACGCTGCGTCTGCTCTCGCGCTTCCTGTCCCCGGCGGTGAAGCCGCTGAGGGAGTGGGAGGCGCGCGGCGCGGCGCTCAGGGCGGCCGTGGACCGCTTCGAGGACGGGCTGCTGACGGCGTTTGACGTCGCGGACGGGAAGGGGGACGAGGCGGGGATGCGCGAGGCGGCGGAGGCGAGCTGGGAGGTGTGGGACGGCGCGGGCGCGGAGTGGGAGCTCGGGAAGGTCTGGGCGGAGAAGCGCGAGATCTTCTACGAGCAGAGCAAGTGGAGGCCGCTGGACAACTTTACGTGCGTGTGCATCTCTATGGCGGTGTGCAGGAGCTGACGGTGGGCAGCGCGGACGAGGGGCTGGACTTTACGGCGATGGACGAGTTCGTGGTGGAGATACTGGGCGCGCTCGAGGAGCATGGGTCGCGCGCCGTGCGCGTGTTTCCGCCCGATGCGAACGTGCTCATCGCGTTCGCAGACAGGCTCGCGAACGAAGTGGTGAGTGGCATGCTGCTCTTGTGGGGTGCGCGCTGACACCGCGTAGGTAGGAGAATACGTGACGTCGCTGCTGACACGCGCACGCGAGATTTCCAACGAGATATTTCTCAAAGCGTCTGCCGCCAGCTTCAAGGAGGCGTGGCGGATGGTGGACGTTATCGTCAAGGTCGCGTCCGCGAAGGACCCGCAGTTCCCAAAAACAAAAGCCGAGGACGTCGTGTCAGTCACCCGTGCTGCGCGCATTGCTCCCTGCTGACGGTCCCACAGGTACAGGATGTTCGAGCCGAACATGGACGAGTACCTCGACGAGGAGGTCGAGTTCGTGAAGCAGAGCTTCGAGATGACATGCCGAGCATGGGAGAAGACTGTACGTTTCGTATATATGCTAATGGACCCGCGCTGACCCGCAGCAGCTCTCGGAACACAGCGCGGCGGCGAGCGCGACGCCGAGCGCGGACACGGCGCGCTTCCTCGGCTCGCACAACCCCGCGCAGGTGAAGCGCACGGTGCTCGCGTCGTTCACGGACGTGCTGCTGCTCCCCGTCACGATCGTGCCGCGCACGGTCGGCAAGGCCGTCGGCGCGGCGCTCACGACGGGCGGCAGCGCGGCCGTGCAGGGCATCGCGATGCTCAACCCGCAAAGGTGGGGCGGGACGGGCGCGGTGGGGCAGGGGCCGTTCCCGTTTGCGCGCATGGGCTCGTGGAATGCGGGCGCGAAGGACGGGTATGTGCGGGATTTTGAGAAGGGCGGGGATGAGGCGCTGTTTGATGTTGGAGGAGACGAGGAGGATGAGGAGGTGGAGGAGAAGGAGAAGGTGGATGAGAAGAGGGAGAGCACGGCGACGGCAAGATGTGAGTGGGGTGGCGGGCGTGCGGTGGGCTGCGCTGACGATACGGTGGCTGTAGCTTCGATGACCGTGTCGACGACGGCGGACTCGCTGAGCACCACGGCGACGTCGGTCTCGGCGGACTCTACGAAGAGCGCGTCGCATGCGCCGCCTGCGCTCGACAATCTGGACCTGCTGCTCTCGCTCGACACGGCGCTGGAGCTGATCCACGCTGACCGCGAGTCGATGAAGCGCGCAGAGACGTTCTCGGGGTACCCGGGCGAGTACGGACATCGCGTGCGGGACACGATCGAGGAGATCTTCGTGCTGCTGCTGCAGGCGCTGGGCGAGCGGCACATCAAGCCTGGTTTCGACGGGTGCGTACATGCATTTAGGACATACAGTGTGCTGACGTCTGTGCAGTGCCATTCAGCAGATGCGGTCGTTTCAGCCGGCGGAGCACGAGGAGACGAAGAGCGTCGCGCCGCTGCTGCAGTTCTTTGAGCTGGTGCATATTGGGGACACGATGCAGTCGATGATGCAGGTGTACTTTGACAAGGAGCTGGTGCGTGCTAGTGCTCGGTATCGTCTGCGCGGGCTGACTGGTGTGGGCAGGCACCGCATATCGATCGACACGACTTTCTAAACACGGTGGTGCGGGAGAAGAAGCACTTTGAGGATGTGCTGGATGACTGCGTCGCGGGCGGACTGAACGCTGCGACGGACGCGCTGATGAACCAGGTGCGTTCGCTCGGACGGTGGATGCATGTAGGCTAACGCGCGCAGGTTGAGCACATCATTCTGAAGCTCACGAAGCCACGCGAGTACTACCCGCCAGAGGACAGCCCGCTGGAGCTCGGGCCGACGGAGGGGTGCCGGGAGGCAATCAAGTGCCTGCAGATGCACTGCCAGCTGCTGAAGGGGAGCACGAGCAAGGAGGTGCTGGAGGTGTTCTACCAGGAGGTGGGGATCCGGCTTATCGCGTAAGCACCCGCGCCACTTGCGTGCGCGAGCGAGGCTAAACACTGTGGGCGCGGTGGCAGGATCCTGCAGAAGCACCTGAAGCGGCAGATCATCTCGCTGAACGGCGGGTTCCAGGTGATCGCGGACCTGAACGCGTACCACACGTTCATCGCGTCGCTGCGGGTGGCGAGCATCACGTCTGAGTTTGCGTACTTGAAGATGCTGGGGCATGTTTATGTGGTGGAGGACGCGAAGGACCTGGCGCAGATCGTGCGGGACGTGACGCGGTACGGGGGCGCGTACCGGCCAGAGGTGCGCAGCGGCGGGTGCGGGTGCGAGTGCGATGGCTGACGCGGCGCGCAGGACATCTACGAGTTCATCCAGCGGCGGTCGGACTGGAAGAAGATCGAGAAGACGGTGGACAAGACGATGTACAATCTGTCCTTCAAGGAGGACTGTGTCGTCTGCTAGCATCGCGTTGTCGTTCAAGGAGGAGTCTCGTTTGTTAGCGTCGGGCTGGCGCCCACGTGACGTCACCCACGGGCGTCTGTGCCTCTTAACTGCGCCCAGTACTGTGCGCTCCTCATTCGCCTCCTCCTCCTCGCCACCATGTCCATCCCCGAGTTTTCCCTCCGCCTCCAGCACGGTATGTCGCCCGCCCATCTGCCCGCCATCGAGCTCACCCGTCTGCACAGGCATCATCGGCGGCTTTGCGCCCCCGACGCCCAACCAGATCGTGACCATCACCGGCATCCCCACCCAGAATCTCCTCAACATCACCAGCGCCGTCCGCCCGAAGGGCACACCCTCCCTCCAGGACGCCGTGCCCAAGTCCATCTCCGCCGCCGACGCGCACACCGCCCAGCTCGTCGCCGAGCTCAAGTCCATCCTCGCCACCATCCCCACCGAGTCGCCCCCCGGCAGCCAGGACATCTACGGCCTCGACACGAGCATCGCCTTTGGCAGCGACGACCTCGTCTGGCAGAACGGCGGCCCCCAGGGCTGCGGCCAGGGCGTCAGCGAGACCCAGCCGTCCGAGGCCGATAAGACAAAGTTCAAGCGCGCGGTCGAGATCGTGCAGGAGCTGCAGGCAAAGGACGCGTAGACGGACGGACTTCATAGAACACACGTTTGTATACCAACTGTTTGTACAATCTACATGACGGACACGGAATCGCACCCTCAGGCGTCCGTGCCAAATGAC